CATTACCCCTTTCTGCTTGTTCGAGTTTTTGTGAATGACTTTCTGATTGTGCAGATCCGCACAAAACTTTCAGCGCTTCATCCACAACATCACTCGTGGCTTGGACTGTTTACTCCTACCTTGATAACATCCTTTAAGCCAGTTCATACACCGAGGAGCACGTCGCTCATCTTCTATCTCTCCTCCAACGGTTGACCCAACACGGCGTCATCGCTAAACCGAATAAGTGCGCACCTGGCAAGTCCACAATGGGATTCTTTGGCACATCACCTCTTCGTTTGGGGTCGAAGTCCTTACGGACAAAATCCAGGCTGTTAGATACTTTCCAGCTTCCACGTCATGTACGCATATCCGTCAAGTTTGTGGCCCAGTCAACTACTACCGACGCTTCATTCCCCGCTGCGCTCAACTCATACAATCTTTGACCGACTTCAGAGAAAACGAGCGTAAGTTTGCTTTCCCCGATACAGCACACACGGCTTTCACCGGGCATAAGGAGCTATCTCCAACACTGCTCTCTTCACTCACTCCGAGCCGTCTGCTCCTTTTTCCCTGGCGACTGACGCATTGGACGTTGTAGTAGGAGCTGTTCAGCAGCAGCATATTGGTGGACAGTGGCAACCTGGTTTCTTATAGCAACGCTTGCAGTCAGCGGAATCCCACTACAGCACATTCGGTAGAGAACTGCTTGCTATTTATTGGCCATTCGTCACTTCAGCCACGCATCAGAGGGCCATATTTTGGCAGTCTTCACAGATCACAAGCCTCTCATCTTCGCCTTTGAGTCATCGTCTGACGAATATTCATCACGAGACACTCGACACCTAGACTTTGTCACGCAGTCCACTGCTGACATACGTCATGTCTCAGTGTCGCCAACCCCGTTGCGGACGCCCTCATTTGCGTCAACCTTACTCTGCACACTTTGCCCACCATCGATCTTGCCGCCATAGCCTCGACTCAAGCCCAAAATAAAATCTCTAACCTGCCCTACATTCCACTTCACTGCAGATGCAAGCTGTTCTTCGTCAAACCACGGACGAAACTGCCCTTTGCAACACTTCCACAGGTTGCTCTAGACCCGTCATGCCGGCCTCTTTCAGACGCACAGTGTTCGGCACCTACCACTCATTGTCTCATCCTGGTATTCATGCATCATTGAAATTGGTCCCTGAATGTTTAGTGTGGTCAAGCTTAAACAAAGATAGTCGTAACTGGGCTCCCGCTTGCCTTCATCCTCAACGCCCCCGGATACATCGACGCACCCGTAGTCCTCTCGGCTCATCCCCTGCCCCAAATTCGCGGTTCTGACACGTACACTTAGATTTGGTGAGGCCTTTAACTCATTTTCGCGGATTCATATGCATACTGAAATGTACCGACCGCTTCGTTAGATGGCCAAAAGCCATCCCTGTCTCAGATTGCGTTTCTTTAACTGTCGTCCGTGCCTTCTTGGACCGTTGGGTGCCCCACTAAGGATGCCCATCCAACATCAGTACCGACCACAGAACGCCTTTCGAATCTGCCCTATTCGGTACTTTTTGTAACTTCCTTGGCTGTCAGCATATTCATTCGACTGCATACCACCTTGCAGCTAATAGTCTTGACGAACGCTTTCATCGACAGCTTAGGTCTTCTCTTTATGCCACTTCTGACTCTGATTAGATTAAAAATCTTTTATGGTACTTCTGGGTATCCGCAGCAGCATCGAAACTGTCCTGCAGTGCCCACCGCCAGAGCTGATCTATGACACAATACGTAAGCCGCCAGGAGAGTTAATTTGGCCTCCCTGGCCTTTGTGAACGCCACCATCACACTTCGCATCCTCTCTTTCTCAAGCATGTGCATACCGCACCCGACTCCTCGTGAGGAGAACAGCGATATGCAAACGCACAATGAACTCTCTCCCTGCACTCACACTTTTGTTAGCACGGACGCCTTGCGTCGTCTCCTTCAGTCTCCCTACACCGGCCCCTTTAGATCTATTCAACGAACTCCGAAGCACTTTACCTTAGACCAGAATTGTCAACGAACAGCGGTGTCCGTCAATTGTCTCATTGTGGCGTAGAAGCAAAAGTTAGTAGCTCAAGTTGTTCCGTTGGCGGTCTGAGTGTTCGCTGAGCTCAACAGTTTGGCTGCAGACGTTTCGTCACCATTCCAGGTGACATCATTATTGCGCGTTTATGCAGCAGAGCGGCGCGCTATGAAGCGTCAGTGAGTGTGAGTGATCGATCTTCTAGCTGTCAGTCTGAGTTTAGATCGCTCGACTGGCACATGACCATCGAAATCGATCACTGATTCTTGCCTCGTAGCGTATATGCACGTATCTCTTCGGTTGTCGTCGTTAGATTTAGCCGACTAAATCGGTGGTCTTTCATCCGCAGCGCTGAATATATAACATCTATTTCAACGCGTCGTTTTATTGAATTATCTGTAGAATACGATGCTTTCAAGAACTATCTAGCCTGCCTCGAATTTCCACGGGCTAGGATCTTTACGCTCTCTAGGTCGAAGTAGTGGTCTTCTTGGTCTTCATGTATGGAAATCAGTGAATGCGGGTCGTGTCTCCGTATGGCCATTTTGCGCTCGTTGATCCGTGTTGAAAGCTTCCTTCCCATTTGCCCGATGTAGTGTTTATCATACACTGCAGTTTATTTGATAGATGACGTCGTTTTGACTGCCTTGGTTGACTTTTTCTTTCGGCCTTGAAAGCAATCTTCTCAAAGTACCAGTCGGTTTGTGGGCTACCAAGACTCCATATGGTCTTAGCAGTCTCGATGTTAGTTCACACACGTTCTTGATGTAAGGAAGTGCTACCCGTTTAGCTACGTTCTCTTTCTGTTGTTGAGACATTCTTCTCTTTAGGCTTCTTCTGAAGAAATTTCTCGGATACCCGTTCTTTTGTAATACCCGGTATAGATGGTTCAATTCCTTCTTCCTCAATTCTGTCGTGTTGCAGTGTGTTTCAGCCCTTCTGAAAGGGCTTTGAATGCAGCATTTTGTGGTTCAGCGGATGGTTGCTGTGGTAGTTTAATATTTGGTCTGTGTGAGTCTTCTTTCGATATACACATTTTTGAAGCGTTCCGTCAGTATTCCTGTGGACTAGTACATCTAAGAATAGTAATTGGTCATCTTTTTTGAGTTCAATGGTCAAGTTGATATCCTGGAATGTGCTGTTGATTAGCCCATGGGTATTCTGTATGTGTCGTGTTCAAATACTTTGCTTTGTTTTTGCCCTCGGTTCGCATATCCTATTCACACTTCTATTTAGCGCCCGTTGGCCTATCATGTGATTTTGCATTTGAATGGTTGCAATGCGAACCTCCATCGATTCAATTGTACTGCGCGTGTTTGCGAACACTTTCCTCCATACATACGTTTCGGTGCTGCTCTTGTCTGCTGCTTTTTCGGGATACAACAAAGTGGCTTCGCGTGTTACCGGTCTTTTCATGCTACTGCCCCTTCACCGTTCTGCACTGACTCTGCAGTAACCCCAAATGCAGAATGCTGGGAAGACTGGAAAATTAATTTTACAGATTATATTTCTGTGCTACCAGTTCTCAATCCATCCGTGACGCTGAAAACGGAGGATATTTTGAAGCTTTTGCGCTTGCACCTCGGCTCAGAGGGCCGAGGTATATTTGATGCTCTAAACTTGCGGGAGAAACCCAGGTTGACAGAGGCCTTATCGGCCCTCGATAAACATTGGGGTGGTCGTGCGAACACCTACACTACTCGGTACAATTTTTCGCAACTGAAACAAGCATCTGGTGAATCAGTGGATGCATTCATTTCCCGCCTAGTTTGTTCTGTTCCAAAGTGTGACTACAATAGTATTCCCAAGAAGAAAAGTGGAAGAAACCATGTTAATACAACAATTGATTTCTGGCCTCACGGGTTCTCGGATCAGAGTCTCTTAATGGAGAACGCAGAAAAACTCACATGGGACAGGGTCTCTGATGTGGCTCGCGCGAAGTTCGCAGTCACGGAACAAACAAAAGTTTCCTCTCTAACACAGGAACTACTGAAATTGACCGTTTGGATTCTACACGCTCTCTGACGCGAACCTCAGTTAGAAATAAGTGTTACCGTTGTGAAAATGCTGAACATCGTGCAAATGATAAGTCATGTCCTGCAAAGAGTAAAATCTGCCGGAATTGCGGTAAGACCGGTCATTTTGCTCGGGTTTGTCGTTTCCGCGCCATTTCTTTACTTGATTCTGCAAATGACTCCAGAGCTTCTCTGGTCACCAGTGAACAATCTATATATGTTGTTAATGAATGCGAACATTCACCTTCGTCTCCAACTCAAGAGCCCAAACTACCTTCGCCAGATATTCGTCGTGTGTTTTGTGAAGTTAAAAACAAAACCATTTGTCTAGACATGGAATTAGATTCCGCGTCACCAATTCCAGTTGTGGCATATTGTTTTTACAAACAGCATTTTGATCAGCTAACTGTACATCCTTCCGCTTGCACTTTCAGCAGCTACTCCAATGGTGATGTCCACATACTCGGTTTTGTTACGGTTTCAATGTTTCTTATAAACAACAGGAAGCGTACAGTTGAAGTTTACGTCTCTAAAACTGATAGTAAGCCTCTATTGGGACGTAATGCCATGGTCTTATTGAACGTATCACGATGTGTCAGCCGGATGACCATTGCCAGTGTCAACCTTTATTCGTTACGTTCCAGTTACCCAAATCTCTTTCTTCCGGATATTGGTAGAGTCCCAAAAGCAATGCACCGCATTCGGTTGAGCGCGGATTACAAACCGTTCAGCATTTCTCAACCTAGGCCTGTACCTCTAGCCAAGCGAGAAGCGTTGTCGTAAGCTTTGAAAAATATGGTCATGGAAGACTTGATAAAACCCATACAGTGTTCTAAATGGGTTCATCCACTAGTTGCCGTTCAAAAGAAAGATGACTCTATTTGTGTATGCACTGACCTTCGAGCGCTTAATCGACATATACTTGTGGACAAATTCCCCTGCCTTCTATCGACGAGTTGATGGTTAAGCTATCAAACGCCAAACTTTTCTCAAAGCTGGATATTCCCAGTGCATACTACCACATGCCACTGACTCCAGATTGTCAACATTTGACTACTTTACTCACGCAAGACGGTTTGTATCAATACAAAGTGCTACCAATGGGCCTTAGTAGTGCCCCAGCAGTTTGGCAGAAATTTACTACTCTATCGTTATCAGATCCCAAAGGATGTGTTGTGTATATGGATGATATTTGTGTCTTTGGTAGTAACCCCACCGAACATCAGGAAAACCTTCATAATGTGCTGCATAGACTGAATGGACTAAATCTCTGCCTGAATACCAGCAAATGCCAATTCGCTATAACGGAGGTCGAGTTTATTGGACATGTTATTTCTACCTCGGGTATTAATTCCAATGTGTAGAACACCAGAGCCATTCTCGATTATCCAAAAGCATGCAACGTTACACAGATGAAATATTTCTTGGGTTTGTGTTCGTATTACCTCCGACATTCGCCGAATTTTGAGACTATTACGGAGCTATTGCGTTGACGCGCCAAAAGCAGGAGTTTCATTGGGCCACTGAACAAGAAAATGCTTACATGACCATACGAGCGATGATTGAATGCACTCCCACGGTAGCGATCTTCAATGAGCACTGTCCAAAGTTTGTTTCAACGGATGCTTCAGATGTCGGCTTGGGTGCAGTTCTATCCCAGCTGCGCGATGGCGACGGAGATGGGATACAACAGTACGGAATCTCGTTTGATGATGACAAACGTGTCGTCCACCTACCGGATCCATAATTTCAGTTTGATTGACGTTTTGCATCACAGCTTCTGCAATAAGTCCTGTGATGGGCGATCCCTTGGGCGTTCCTTTCAGTTGCTGGTATACTTGCCCATCAAAGCAAAAATAAGTGGGCATGAAGAGATCCAAAAGTTCCCATATGCTCTCTGGCTTGAGGTTTCCTATTGTGTTTGGTTGATTTCGAAGTAATTCCATCATGGTTTCTTTTGCAAGTTCGTGACCGATCGACGTGAAGAGTGCGGTGACGTCCAACGACAGCATGATTTCATCTCCCTCTATAGCACAGCTTTTCTGGCGTACAACGCTTCATCAACCTCACCTTTGGGAAAACTGCCTGTCGACGAGCCTCCACGCCCGATCAGTTATACTTCCATACAATTGTCTGAGAGAGAATATTCTGTCACCAAGTTTGAACCGTAGACCGGCGTTAGATCACCCAGAAACTTTGGCTTTAACAAGACAGCATGTGACGTGTATGGTTAAATTAAAAAGCGGATGCCCTTAACCGCCTTTAAAAGTTTGTAAAGTTCATAAATGACAACAGAGCTGACTGCCTTATTACGATGGTCCCCTAAAACGTGCAGATCTTGAATCCGCAATTCAACTGCGAGTAAACAACGTCAGAATCCAGCATATATATATATATACATATATATATATATATATATATATATATATATATATATATATATATATATATATATATATATATATATATATATATATATATATATATATATATATATATATATATATATATATATATATATATATATATATATATAGGTTGTGTAGCCGAAGGTGGCGGAAGAGCAGTGTGGATTCCGGTCGGGTCGCAGTGCTATCGATATTGTGTTTGCAGCTCGACAGTTGCAGGAGAAGTGTAGAGAACGATACCAGCCGTTGTACACGTTTTTTGTTGATTTCACCAAGGCATTTGATACGGTGAATCGCGAGGCATTGTGACTGGTTTTGGGTATGTTTGGTTGCCCGCGTAAGTTTGCAAGTTTAATTGAATGTCTGTACATTGGTATGCGTTCGAGCGTGCAGCTGAGTGGACGGATCTCGGATAGGTTTGCAGTTGTCTCTGGTGTGAAACAAGGCAGTGTGTTAGCTCCTGCCCTGTTTAATATTTATCTTCATGCCATAATGCGCTTTTGATGCGACGTGCATACTTAGTTCGTCTGGAGTACCGTATTGATGGTGGGTTGCCGAACATCCGTCGTTTCGGTGCGAGAGCCCTAGTCTATGTGACAACTATCCGTAGGTTCAAGTTCGCGGACGGCTGTGCGTTGTTTGCACACAGTGCAGATGAGTTGCAACACATGACTAGTGCTCTGGCTTCGACAGCGGCCAACTTCGGGTTCACCATCAACACAAGCAAAACTGTCTGTCTCTTTCAGCCTTCACTGGAGGTGTAATCTGCAATGGTGCCGCGAATTACCATTGGTGCTGAAGTATTAGTAATCACCTCCCGCTTTTGCTACCTTGGAAGTTTGATGTCGACTGACCAGCAGCTACACTGTGAGCTGCCTATCCGCGTCTGGAAGGCAGCGGCTGCATTCGGGAAACTAGAGTACCGCGTGTGGAACAACCGACAGCTTACCGTTGGCACGAATCTGATAGTGTACAAATCCATGGTGCTGTCCGTCCTTCTATATGGCAGTGAAACGTGGACAATATACCGGCGGGATGTGGGATATCTCGGTCGGTTTCATCAACAGTATTTGCGACGGATTCTGCGCATCGGTTAGTGCGAGAGTTGCAGACACGGAAGTGTTACGTCTAAGTGGAATGTATGCAGTGGACTGCATACTTTTGCTGAGACACCTTAGGTGGCTCGGTCATGTGTGGCGTAAGGATTCGACGCGGATACCGAAGCAGCTATTAAATGGTCACCTGCGTGTTGGGGAGCCGTATGCGGGGAAACCGGTGCTTCGTTACCAGATGATCAATGTGAGCTCACGTTCTTATCTTGATTGTACCTCATCGACAGCGAGCGCATGGTGCTGTAGCACGCGCGATCGCGTGTGTCTGTCAGGCAGGCCTAGTGAGGCATGAGCGAGGCCACTCTGGGCCCACAGCAAAACGACGACGGTCCCTCAGAGAACGTAGGCAGAACCAGCGCAGCGTTTGTAGGTACGCTACATTCGATTTACTAACCAATTGCCTGCATGCTAAGTCTCATTATTTCAGGTGGTGGGTTTCCTATGTTGTCCTAATGCTTTTTCATCTAATCTAAATGTCTACCTGAACTATCTGCTGTAAACTTACACACGTCCCTTAAACAACTTTACTTAGATTCGATAACATTTTTGAGTTTGTAACAGTTTTCTAAAATATATTTGCTAGTTTCTTGAACCATTAGTGCATCCTTTAGTGAAGAGTTTTGACACCGTATCTGTAGGCGTTATTCGATTTACTTTATATGGTATCGTCGTTTCAGGTGCTTGGCATGTGTACCTCATACAGTGGCTGATGTTGCATTCTTGATGCTTCTTCACCGCAGTTGGGCTAAACCAACTTACACTTAAACTACGTCTTTTTAAGCTGGACAAACTTCATTTCACCTTTTTTCGGTTTCTTCTGCCTACCTGAGTAATCTTCTATTAACTTGCGCTCCTTGCTTACGCTAATTGTAGTTATTTACGTTGAATTTATCGCGTTTGTGGCATTTTAAAATAAATTGTGGACATTCTCTACTTATCACGGATTCGTTGCTAACCAACGTACTTCAAATGTTAATTTAGCAAAGTGTTATTTCGCCATTGCCGTATGCTTTAATAGATCAATTTCATTTGTGAATGCCATTTCAAGTGATGGGCTGTTGTTTGACATCCCCGGTGCGGCTGCGCTTGATGTGCATGTTAACAAGGTGCGTACCTGTCTATTACTTACTGCCTCGTCCATATTGGCTCCAGGAGACAGTTGGTGGTTACTGGAAGGGACGAGGTGCACGGTCCCTGTGTCCGTGCTAGGGGCGACAGAGTTGCTGACACGGAAGTGTTGCGACAAAGTGAGATGTATGCAGTGGACTGCACACTTTTGCTGAGACACCTGAGGTGGCTCGGTCATATGTGGCGTACGCATTCGACGCGGATACCGAAACATCTCTTACATGGTCAACTGAGTATTGGGAAGCGGCATGTGGGGAAACCAAAGTTACGTTACCAAGACATGATCAAAGTAGGCCTCTCACGTTCTAATCTTGATTGCATGCCATGGGAATCGAAAGCGGTTGCTCGACGTGCATGGTGCGATATGATTATGAAGGCTGTTGCCAAGGTGCAAGAGAAAGCCCTCGTACATGCAGAGAAGCGGCGAGTGCGGAAGTGACAGACGCCGGTGGGTTGTATTCCATCGACATCGAACGCATGGTGCTGTAGCACATGCGGTCGCAAGTGTCTGAGTCAGGCAGGCCTAGGGACAACCACCGAAGCGACGACGAGTCCCGCAGAGAACGTAGGCAGAACCGACGCAGCGTTTGTATGTACACTGCATTTGATTTACTAACCGCGTGCTTGCATGCTGAGTCCTTTTATTTCAGGTGCTAGGTAGGATTGCTGTATTGTCCTTATGCCTTTTTATCTCATATTAATGTCTACCTAAGCTATCTTCTATAAACTCGCACACGTCCCTTAAGCTACTTTTATTTACAGAATAGTAGTAGGGGGAGTTGAATGGTATAGGTTGAAATTCGTCACATCTAGACTCACTCAGACAGCCGTCACACGCCCGGAAAAGCATTGTACGCGCGTTTCATCCTTTCGGGAAACATCAGCAGTGCGCATTCCATCGGACCCCTGGTAGGGCTCGAACCCGCAACTCGACTATTGCCAGTCCGTGGTTGAGACCACTGAGCTACAGTGCTTTTCCGGGCGTGTGACGGCTGTCTAAGTTAGTCTAGATGTAACGAATTTCTACCCATACTACTTTTATTTAACCTCGATAACATTTTCACGTTTGTGGCATTTTCCTAACATGTATTTTTGACGTAATAAACCCTTCGCGGTTTTTGCAACCAATTTATTTCATACGCTCATTTAGTTAAGAGTTAGGTCGCCGTATCTGCATGCATTATTAGCTTTATTTTACTTAATACCGTCGCTTCAAGTGATTGGCTGTTGTTTGACATCCCCGGTGTGGTTGCGTCTGATGTGTATATTGACAAGGTGCCTACCTGTCTATTACCCACTACCTCGTCCATACTGGCTCCAGGTGACAGTTGGTCGTTGCTGCAGGGGACGGGGTGCACGGTCCTTGTGGCAGTGCTATGATCAATAGTGGTTCCATGCTTTCAGTGTGGAGCGGACTACGGTCCAGCCACCGCCTTGTGTGCGCTTGATTCCCCAAATACAGCGTGCTTGTGTTTGCCTGTGAAGGAGTGTGGGCCGGCTGCGTTGATGAAACGTGGCTCCCATCCACATGCCTCCCGGTCTTATTCCTTCGGGTTTACACTGGATATGGGATGTGTGGATGGAGCTGTGGGTGGTGCAGTGCAAGCCACCCATGGTACCTCTGTAGGCACAGATGCTGTGGCTGGCCACAGTGACAGTCAAATCCGAAACCGGATGCCGCCAACCATATAATCTGTGGTACAGATATTATGCATCGGATCCATGACTGAATAGGAAAACAGTATGAATAATGAGAAAATAACAACAACAAAAGCTTTTTTTATCCAGTTTGCCATTCACATTTTCGAATTTTTTCAGTTTTTTATGGGGGAAGGAACCAGGGACTCTGCAACACACCGATGCACGCGTCCGTCACTGACATCGATCTTGAGGCATGGCTTCCAAGGTCTTCAGCCAGCAATTACCCGCATCTCTCGGACGTCAACCAAGTAGTCGACAATAACCGGCCGATGCCAACTTCTTCGTAACCTTTTTTGTGCGGCTTCTCCAAGTTGCAGACTGTCCACCAGACCGTCTCTTCCAGCCCTGTCCAGCAACCGCAAACAACGCACGACGCGGGTAACGGCAAACAGACATGCGCAATACGTGTCCCAGCCAACGCAGTCGATGCAGTGAGACGAGCTACTCGAGCGAGTGGCTTCCTCGTCCCAAGACACACTGTCTAACTTCCACATTGCTTACGTGGCACCGTCACCACATACGGGAAATGCACCGCAGACAGCGGTGCTCGAAGATGGATAGCCTGTGCAAGTCAGCTATACGAATGGGCCAGGTCTCGCATCCGTACAACAGTACAGCACGAACAGTTGCACAATAGATCCGCCCTTTGATGGAGAGACGAATGTCGTGGCGACGCCACAAGTGCCTCAGCCTAGAAAAAGCGAGGCGTGCTCTCGAGATGCGCATCGAAATCTCGTCTCCAACAGCCCTGCCAGCAGTGATGCAACTTCCCAAGTAGACAAAGCTCTCCACAACCTCCAGTGTCTCAATACCAAGAGTGAGTGTAGGCACAGGCACCTGCCAGTCTTGAAGGAGAACCTTGCATTTGGATGGCGAAAAGTACATACCGTACTTTGATGCTTCAATCGCCAAGCGGTTTATTGCAAGTTGGACGGCGTGTGGATCGTCACCCAGCAAGACGATATCATCAGCATAATCCAAATCAACAACTCGACTACCTGGGAGGAGCTCAACGCCAGCGTTCAACGAATCGCCCAGAGCGTTCTTTAGGACATCCTCAATGGCAAAGTTGAATAGGAACGGAGAGATAGGGCATCCTTGTCGAACTCCACTGGAGACCACAAAGGAAGGCGAAAGCTTGCCATAAGCCCTAACCTTGCCCGAGGTCAGACCATAGAGAGCGCGCAGTATGGAGACGAACTTCTCGGGAATGCCATTCCTCAGTAGGCAGTGTCACAGTACCGTCCGATCGACAGAATCGAAGGCTGCACGGATATCCAAGAACACAGCAATCGTTGGCCTCTGATACACATGGCGGAGCTCGAGGATCTGGCGGAATATGATGTTTTGATCGATGCAACCGCGACCATGGCGAAACCCAGCTTGTTCTTCTCGCTGCAACGATTCGCGCTTCGGGGACAGCCTGCGAAAGATGATGGACACCAACAGCTTGCAAACGACTGGGGTTAAGCTTATGCCTCTGTGGTTAGAGCAGATTGTGTACAGGTTCTTGTTGAAGATGGGTATGATCATCGATTCCCCCAAGATGATGGAACTTCCTCTTTCGATCAAGCTTTCGAGAACAAAGCAGTGAGTTCTCAAACCAGCGAAGTGTCACCATCCTTAAATAGAGCTGGAGGAAGACCATCAGGACCGGAGGCTTTAGAACGCTTCACGTTGCGGAGCTCCTGCTCGATTTCCTGCGAAGAGGTAGGATCTTTGGGGTAGACCACTCTGCACCAGCGCGAGATCTCAGAGGTAGCAGATGGTGCTGGGGACCAACGAAACCGAGCCAAAATGTTCGGCCCATCGCTCCAACCGTCGTTGAAGATTGGTGATTAAGGTGCCATCCTCTTAGCATATTGTTTCACTCATACCAGATCGAGCATCTTCGGTGACTCGAATGAGATGAAAATTTTTCTGGTATTACCAGAGAGACTAGCAAGCTCTATCTCTCTAGCACGTTCACACCACAAAGCTTCGCGGTCCATCTGCAGATTCCTGCACAACTCTAGACCCAGGGATTGGCATTCTTCACTGTGGCTGGAATCCGATGGGAGCAAGCGGTGTTTGTCCATCAGTGACAATGCGATGTCGGAAATCCAATGCTTCCGTGGTTGACGGGCAGCTCCACGAGTGTCGGTATGGCGAAAAGTAAGGCATATTTGATCTACGAATCAAGGTCACCGTCAATAGTTGAGCCAAGCCGTTGACCGTGAGGCTTGGTACCTGGTTAAAATCGCAGGGTTTAGTCGATTTGCGACGTCCGATCGGTAGTGAGCGCGCTTGGGTGATTCTCCGAAACGAATACAAATCATAGCACGAACCAATACGTGATCGGAGTATAGATAAGTTGAGCAGTACGATCGACAGTACCCTACGCTTTCGCGCCATCTGTAGCTGATTGCTGTGGTCAGACTGGAAGCACCCTTGCGTTTGTGAGGGCGGGCACCAGGTAGCAGTGTGTCTGCTCGAGTGCCGAAACCTAGTGCTCGAAAGAAACAAGCGACGATCAGAGCAAGCAATCTGTCTCCATTGTCTGATCGACTACCACCGAGGCCAAAATTGCCCCCACCGTGGTGCTCGCTTAGGATAAGGCGGTCCACGCATGCGTTCAAGTCTCCGGCAAGAATGACTATCAGTCCTTTTGGAGGAACGCAGAAGTTCATGCAGCTGCTGCTAAAAGCTATCCTTGAGTGCATCCGGGATGCAATCTGTAGGGGCGTAGGCAGTGGCGACAAACAAGACAGGCTTAACGTCCCGACGTCTGCTTACATTACATGAATTTTCCTTCAAACAATTTCTTGATGCTCTGGCCACCGCAGAGGATAATAAACGGTGCCCTATCTGCTGCATCGAGCAGGGTGGATAGGGGTTTGGATGCTACTGCTCAAGCCTTCCCGTCTTCTTATTCCCCCTCTTACGCTTTTTCACTCTTACCGTCCCATTCCAACTTCACTTATATCCCCCCAGTTTTCAACCCCCCGGTTCTTGGCCCTCCCCCAACATGCTTTGCTAGGCATTTACCTTCTAATTTCAACTCACACGTGAACGCGGAGCGTCACTCCTCTCCTGTCGACAAGCCCATGTCCAACCAAGCGGTCCAATCCAGTTCATCGGCTTCCATTTGGAGCCCTCGATCCTCCTTCAGATTGGCATGCCTCAATGTTCGCACACTGCTACAAATCGGTCAACAGGCAGCACTTGCCCGAACATTGGAGACCCTCTCGATCGATATCTGCTGCTTATCAGAGACTCGCCTGCAAGACTCGAGCACTGTGCTCACTCTGCGATCCCCTTAAGGGGACGCAAGCAGTATTTTCTCATTGCGTCTATCCGGTGACGATGCAGCTTCGAGCACCGGCCAAGCCGGTGTTGGTATTGCCCTGAGTCCCCGGGCTAAAGCTGCTCTGGTTGAGTGGATTCCAATTAGTAGCCGGATGTGTGCGGTCCGATTGGCTGGCTCGTTTAAAGCTTCGAAGTCACGCGGGACTAATAGATGTCTATTCATCATCGCTGCCTATGCGCCCACAAACTGTAGCGATGATTCGGTAAAGAACGACTTCTACCGCCAACTGACCCAGCTCCTTCGCCACAGAAGAAGCACGGACACTGTTGTGCTGGCGGGGGATATGAACGCACAAGTTGGAAAGTTGTCCACTGATGAACTGCATCTGGGCGGTCAACACGGTGTAGGCTCCCGTAATGATAACGGTGAGCGGTTACTTCATTTGTGTGAAGATGCTCGCTTATTTCATGCGAGCACTAATTTCCGACACAGCACCCGCCGAAGGGTGACTTGGCGCCCACCAACCTCGAACCAGCCTTGCACGCAGATCGATCACATTGCGATAAGTTACCGCTGGAGAGGCTGCATCCAGAATTGTCGCTCGATTTGGAGCACATGTGTGGACACCGATCATGCACTTGTATGTGCTGACATGCGGATGCGTTTTGGCGGACGCCCACGACGACGCTGTGAGCGTATTGACACCAGCCAACTGACAAAACCAGCTGTTCTGAATGCGTATCGAAGTACGCTAACATGCGAGTTGAGCAAGCGCTCACAGGAGACAATTGATGGTCACTGGTCACATGTTCGCCAGACCTACTAGCAGCAGGCAAATCCTCATGTGGTATGTCTAATAGACAACATGGACATTGGGTCTCTTCGCAGTCTCTGGAACTTATAGATGCTCGCCGGCAAATCCCGGCTGGAAGCGAGCACAATGAAACTCGCAAAGAGCTCCGGGCAAAACTCCGTGCTAGCCTGAAGAGAGACCGCGAATCTTGGTGGTCTCATCGTGCGTCAGAGATGGAAGTGGCCGCTGCCCTTGGCAACCATCGTAAGTTATTCCGTCTGATACGGGAAACGGGCAGCAGGAGACCTGGTGTTAGTGAAACTATACGTGACGAGAGTGGACAGCCTATCCACAATTTGTCAAAACGTCTGGAGCGTTGGGCTGAGCATTTTGAAAAGCAATTTAATCGGCAAGAATTGTTCGATTCGCCGGTCACTGATCGCCCCGCTCCGTGGGCTGTCCCTTTGGATCCACCCTCTCGCTCAGAAGTCGAACGTGAGATCGGACTGTTGAAGTTGAACAAAGCCGCGGGACCAGATGATCTTCCTCCAGCCCTCTTCAAATTTGGAGGCTCTGCTCTTGTTGATGCTTTGCATGAATTACTAGTGAAACTGTGGGAGCAGGAAACTGTCCCAACCGACTGGAGCCGCTCCGTTATTGTTCCCATCTTCAAAGGCGGCTCGCGCTCGGAATGCGGCAACCATAGAGGAATCAGTCTGATCTCCATCGCCTCCAAATTACTCGCGTCCATAATTCTCCACAGACTGACTGGCGCTCGTGAAAGCCAGATTCGTGAGGAGCAAGCCGGGTTTCGTCGGGGTCGTGGCTGCATCGACCACATCTTCACCTTGCGTCAGTTGTTGGAGCACCGTCACACATATTGGCGGCCCACCGTAGTCGTGTTCCTCGACATCAAAGGTGCCTTCGATTCGGTTGATCGATGTGCCCTTTGGAATTGTCTACTCAGGAAAGGTGTGCCCGAGAAATATGTAAATATTATCCAAGCATTATATGCGCGTAGCACGGGCAGAGTAAGGGCTTACAGCAGGCTGTCGCCACCCTTCAATATCTCCAGCGGTGTGAGACAAGGATGCCCGCTGTCACCTTTCCTATTCAACTTCGCTATTGACGAAGTCATGGAGATTGCATTTACAGGACATGACTTGGAAGGTGTGGAGCTACTCCCAGGAGAACGACTTCTTGACTTAGAGTATGCAGACGACATTGCCCTCATCTGTGACAGCTCCCAGACGTGTCAATCCGCGCTGGACAGATTAGCACTGGCTGTCAGTCGCTTCGGGCTTTGCTTTGCACCACCGAAGTGCAAAGCGTTCCTCCAGGATTGGCAGGGTTCGCCCCCTGTGCTGACCCTTGGTGGGGATCAGCTAGAAGTCGTTCAGAAATTCAATTACCTGGGAAGTTGTATCAGCGCCCTTGGATCGAAGACGAGATCACGAACCGCATAGCGAAAGCTCGAAGTGCTTTTGCTAACCTTCGCCACCTATGGCGACGGCGCGACATTACTCTCGCCCTGAAGGGTAGAGTGTACAATGCAGCGGTACGTTCGACCTTACTGTACGGTTGCGAAACCTGGCCCCTAAGATCGGCGGACATGAAGAGGCTACTTACGTTCGACCATCGGTGCCTTCGCAGTTTGGCTCACATCTGGTGGGAACACCGCGTGAGTAACGAGCGTGTTCGACGCCTTGTTTACGGCCTAGGAAAAGGGAATGAACCGCTCAGCACCGTCATTTCACTCACCAGGCTCCGATGGCTGGGCCACGTGTTGCGCATGCCAGCCCACCGACTCCCTCGACGTGCGTTGTTTGCTCACCGGGGATGTGGGTGGAAGAAGAGGAGAGGTGGCCAAGCGATGACTTGGTCCAGAGGAATGAAGGCCCTCACTTCGGAGCTGGCCTCAGTTGGAGCTTCACGGCTCCCTGGTTGGGGTCCAAAAGACGGTGAACACGTTTGGCTGGATACACTTGCTGATATGGCAAGGAGCCGACCTCAGTGGCGTTCCTGCTGTGAGTTTCTTTGTCCCTCCCCATCCCTTTAGCCTCCCCCTCCATCTACGATCTTATTTCGTAGGGTAAAACGTAATTAAATTTTGGTTTTGCCTAGTAGCCGGCTAGTAGCTTACCGGAACGATGCGTATCCGTTGCTGGTAGCTCAGCTGGCATTCAACTGTCGTATTTATTTTTCCTTTATGTATTGTATGTATGTATGTATTTCCTTTATGTATTGCGGTACAATAGCGGAGGTGTTTTACCATCTCTAGCTGACATGTATAATGATGATGATGACATTACATGAAGTTCTTAATCAGACTGCGCATAACCCGAACCATTGACCGGGATCCAGTCAATCAGAGCTGGTTCAGCC